AAATACATGGGAACATACCCAGTTGCAAGTTCCTCTCTAAGCCATTCACCATCCTGACTTGGAAATGTATCAACATTCTTTCAGAGTCACTGGGTGAAAATCTGGAACCTTTTCTACCAGCACTGTGGTGTAACTACATTCCAAGGGTTGCAAAATTTCAAGAACATATCTCACCTTCTCTAGGGCAACTAGAAATGGCTTAGCCAGCAACATCCAAACCCCACAAACTAATAAAAAGAGAAGGAGCTACTTGTCTGATCAGTCCAAACTTAGGTTTTAAAAGCCTGAAAATTGCAAGAGGAAGGGAGAAGGGAAAATAAGGAGTTAAAATAATTTCTAAAATATGTCAATTACCAGAACCTGATTTTCAAGTGTGCATATTGCTGGATGTACCACAGCACTATTAGTCAATAATTTATTTCAACTACCAGGGGAGGCAATGGCCTAGTGGTATTTATCGCTGGACAGTTAATCCAGAGACCTAGGTAACATTCTGGGGACCCGGTTTGAATCCCGCAATGGCAGATGGTGGAATTTGAATTCAATAAATATCTGGAATTAACAATTTAATGATGACCGTGAATCCATTGTCAATTGTTGGGAAAAACCCATCTGGTTCACTAATGTCCTTTAGGGAAGGAAACTGCCATCCTTACCTGATCTGGCCTACATGTGACTCCGGACCCACAGCAATGTGGTTGACTCCGAACTGCCCTCTGGGCAATAAATGCTGCCTGGCCAGCGAAGCCCTCATCCAGAGAATGAATAAAGAGGGGGGAAAAAAAACGGTCAACAAACGAGAGTTCTCAAGAGAGTTCTTGAGTTGCACAGAAGTGCACTTTAATGTAAATAGTGAGCAATATATATAAAACCAAATTTCACAATATTACTTGTATTTAATCATACCCATATAGACCACAGGTTATTGCTTATCGAATTACGATATTAGTACAGTGTACTGAGACAGCTTAAAATTCTTGATGGTACAGATCCGATTAGGAGAGCAGTCCTCACAACAAGGTATTCTGGTCAGCCACCAACTGGCTATTTCCAAATCCCAGTTTATGCAGAATATGTGTCACTATAAATACTTTATCTACAGAACTGAAACTTCCACAATCTGTTATAGAAGTTCTAAAAATGAAAATAAAAGGTTCAGGGACTCACTTATGTTTTTGTTAGCATACTAACCTGGAGGAATGACCCAACAGGTGATCCACAATGGAGAAAGAGACTAGCATCTATATTTTTCATTATCATTATAGTCAAAATCACTTTATTAATTTTCTTTATCTTATTTATTTATGACTTAAAAATAGGAATAATTTGCATTTATATTTTACCATCATTTGTAAAACTAGGTCATAAACAGAAATTGCTGGAGAAACTCAGCAGTTCTGGCAGCATCTGTGGAGAGAAGGAATCCTAAAGGGTCACTGGATCAAAGATTAATGTTGCTTTCTCTCCACAGATGGTGCCAAACCTGCTGAGTTTGTTCAGCAATTTCTTTTTTTGTTTCAGATTTCCAGCATCATTTTAGTTTAGTAGAGTTAGGTCAATTTTGTTGGTGAGTAGGATGTTTTCAACCACGCCTCAAACTGACATTGCAGTTTTTGACTCTCCCAATATAATAACCATCTAATTTTCATTGCCCCTGTGCTAAGGTGATGAAAACTGTTACCATTTCCTGCTTGCTCAATTTCCCACTGGGAGTGCAACTACATAGATAATCAAATAACAAGGAGATCTGACTGGCTTGTGATGTTGCTCCTGTCAAGTAGCCTGCAAACACTGATTGTCAAGGTTTGACAAATGGGCTATTTGGACTAGGCAGCTCGAGAGCAAGCGGAAATCTGAGCTTGAGAAGAAGTCAACACTTCTAGGAGTAGGGGGCAGGGGCAAAAATTTGATGACAAAGTAAGAGTAAAATATTTTGTACTATTTTCTACAGTCTCAAACTCAAGTGTGTGCTGGCACTCTGAGCCAGAAGTAGGGAGAACAGGCCAGCTAGAGATTTCCAACTGGCCATGAGACATCTCTCTGGTCTAGAATCGGTGTTGACAGATTTGTTTTATTCATTCATGGGATGTGGACATCACTAGCCAGGTGAATAGTTATTGCCTGTCCCTAATTTGCCCAGAAGGCAGTTGAGAGTCAACCACATGTTGAAACACTAACTATATATCACCTCACTATTCACTTTATACCCATTAAAATCGTATTGCCTGTCATTTTTGCTCTTCCCAAAAGAAGGTGTTGACCTTACTCCCTAGTTGGGATTTTAAATGTAAAACATAAGGTCACCAGAATTGTCCTGGACCTTCCAGGAATTAAAGGTTAGTCTCCAGGAGATTGCAGCAGGCAACATAGGATGAAGATTGTGGGGCTGCTAAAAATAATGTTTGCTTCTTGATTTCTTTGAAAACTTATTATTTCTACAACAATGGAGGCCTAGGTCATTATAACTGTACGCACATGATTCTCAATCAGGTAACAGATAGTTTGTATAATTTCCAGTTGGTGTGGAAAGGGCATTCAGCATCATGTAATGAAATCTGCAGCATATGTGTCCAAGCAGAGTTGGCAAATGCCAGGATAAACAACAAGTTCTGCGTTCGAGAGCAAGAGGGCTAAACTGCATCATTGGGATGAGCTGTACATCATCTCCAGGCTGAAGAGAGTAGTGTCAATTCAGTATTCAGCAGAGTTGATTTGCAAAAAGTGAGTGAAGTTCTCTCCTCCTGGCACATGATGCTCCCCCAACACTGAATGTGCTAGGATCATGGACTCACTTGACGTTACAGCCAGTTTACCTCTAATCTTGAGATCACCCAGTATCAATACAAATGTCCATTCCTGAGTACAGTAAGCAATCTGGCTTTTAAAGGAAAATTATGGATTGTCAAAATCATTGACCAAAGCCTTGGAAAATTTATGAAGCTTTGTTACAATCTTTTCATCATTTGACCATCCTTCCCTGGTTGATCTTCAGTTTAAACTTCGCTGAACTGTGTGAATATCAAGAGTAATATGATCACAATAGTTCCAAGAAGGTTTCATTTCGGAAATAAGTGCCTTTCAAATCTATGTTGCAACAGCTGAGAGATGAAGAAATATGTATCATTAATTGAAGTGTTGATATGGCTTCTAAGGAGTTTTATGTTCTTGGCCATGCTGCATTGGGAAGGTTAAAGTTACCACTTTTACCTTCTCTTTCTATAATAAATCCAGGTCTCGTAAGATTCTAAACAAAACTGTGTCCCTAACATCCGTGTACACCTTGCGGATGTTATCTGTGTCTGTGGCACAGGTGAAATGCGAGTAGATTCTTCTCCCATCTTCAATTTGGCACTGATACATTTTTTGGATAAATTTCATGGCAGCTTCAGCATTCCTTTTAGGTCCTAGAGATAAAGAAAGAGAGATTAGCACCAAGCATCTCAATGTGCCTTACAGCCAAGGAAGTGTAGTCAGTGTTATAATGTAGGAAACATGGCATCCAATCCTCCCAAATCCCTGCAAATGGCAATGTGATAGCAACCAAATAGTTTGTTTTTTTTTTCATAGAATCTTCACTGAGAGATAAATATTGATCAGGACTCCAGGTGTAACTCCCCTGCTGCACTTTGAAATCATGCCTTTGGAGTGTTTAGATCCACCTGAACAAGCAGACAGGGCCTCATTTTAATCACTCATCTGAAAAACCCCAGGAAGACTGGTCTTCCAGCCAGCATAGTGCACGTACGTGAAGAACTGGAATTGTGAAGAGGCGTCAAAGTATCACCATGGGCGCAAGTGCCATTCATGTACATAGTGCCCCTTAAGCCTGAAACAGCACGTTTACAAGTCCTAGGAATAATAGGGATAGGGAAAGCCCTGTGAATATGCAACACTTCAAGGAAGTAGGTCACCACCACTTTCTCAGTGGCTATTAGGAATGGGCAATAAATGCTGGCATTGTCTGTGAGACCTCATCCTGTGGTTGAATAAATATAAGAAATAAGTACAAATGGGACTAAATTAATTGTGAAAACTGGAGGACATGTTGGGCCGAAGGGCCTGTTTCCATGCTGTAAACTTCTATGACTCGAAGCACTCTGCACTCCTGAATTTAGTTGTTGTTTTGTTCGACAGGAACTAGCGAAGGAAGAACCATATTCAATTCACTTATACTGTCCAATATCTGCTTGCACATTAAGCTGATACTGTAAAACGAAAGCCAGCATTTGCAATCCTGAGCCAAGGAAATTAAACTGCCTGAAACTTTCATTTTCTTTACTTATTTATAGCATTCGGAAAATGAGGCAATAAATTAAAGTTTTAAGATTGAAGGCATTATGACAATTTGTTGGGGTGAGTTAGAGGGATTTTATTTTTAAATCTGTATTCAGCTGTGGTTTACCTGACCTGGGAGTGTTTGATGTTGACATTGAGTTCCTGAAACAAAGATGTTCCATTCCCAGAACTAACATTTTTTACTTTCACATCAATGAGCACATATTTAGTCTTATGTTAGTAAACGAGAAGTAATTGAACAGTGAGGACTCCTACAAGGAAAGGGAGTAAGAGAAAAGCCAAAGAATGATGTTTTATGCATACCATCAAATTCATGAAAATAGTCCACTAAATGTGACTTCATAATCTTCTCTTCCAAAATATCCTTTTTATTCAAGAACAGAATGATGGATGAATTGACAAAATAGCTGGATTTCAAAATAAAACGAAAGAGACCCAGGCTTTCCTGCATTCGATTCTGTGACAGCAACAAAAAAAAACACAGCACAATTATTGAGAATCCTTTCAAATTTAAATTTTGTGTAAATCTTGTGCTTTGTTTTTCCTATCAAGATATAAATATATTGCATTAAATTAGGGAAGGATTTAATGTAAAGATGCCATGTGCATGTTATATCGTAATTTGCTTCTATATCATCTGTAACATTTTCTTAAAATGCTACAAATAAAATATATTATAAATTTGTGTCAACACTAAATTGAGAACACCCTTATGACCCTGTCTTGCTAAAGTTATATCCTCTAGCCATTTGGGGAATTGCTCATTCCATTCACTTTTCTTTTTGTTTCCTTACATCTCCCCACTGCTCATTCCCAGCCAATATTCAGCAATATCTTATATTATTTGTGGGTCACTGAACCCTGGCTGTTGTCTGTGTTTTACTATGGAGCACAGTGAGGAATCAGTATCCAAGTTGGGACTGAACTATGCATTAAAAATCCAGCCAAACTGTGCTAGCTCAGCTAACCTATTCTCTATTTTCCCTTCTGTAGTGGAAGCACAATTAAGCTCTGTCTATATCCCTTTGAAATATTTTCAGCTATTACTGGGTTCTAAGGAAGGGCGACTCTACCTGAAATATTAACTCTGATTTGTCTCCATAGATGCTGCTGGACCTGCTGAGCTTTTCCAGTCATTTGTTTTTTTTTTTCTCTGATTTACAGCATCTGCAGTTCTTTTGGTTTTTTTATCTAGAGATGTCGACTTTGTTAGCAAGATCAACACTCAGTTGCTCCGAGATTATGGTGTTGAACCTTCCCCTTGAATTACAGTATGGGGTGGAGGTACTCCCACTTGTTCTGTTAGGTCGGGAGTTCCAGAATTCCAATCCAAAGACAATCAAGGAATGGACAATAACTTTCCAAGTCAGGAAGGTGGTAACTTGTGGACAATGTGGATATGATGCTGTCCCTGTATGCTTTCTTCCCTTGTTCTTGTAGGTGATGGAGGTTGTAGGGGTGCTGCCCTATAAGCCTGAGCAGGTTGCTACTGTGTATTCTGTGGAGATCACACACTGCAGCCACATTGTACTAGTCATGGAGGAAGTGTCCTGGCCATTATCCAATTTCTTGAGCATTATTTCAGCTGCCAGGCAAGTGGAGAGTATTCTCCATGCTTCCCTCATGTTATCTGCATAAAGCATTTAAAAAATATAGAAATTCCTCAGTCGATACAATCACCTTGATCTCAGCTCTTCTATTTTAACATCTATTTTCACAGGACCACATGGAAGGTATAAAATGCATAGGAGTCCCATGCGTTACAAGTCAGTAACAATTAAAAGATAGATATTAATTGACAGACCAGGTACAGAATGCTAACTTTAATTGTTAGAAAACCAGAATTGTTCAACAAGCAAATTTTTTTTTCTCTCAATGGCACCATTCATTATTCACAACATTTTGATAACTGCTCCTGCTTGTTAAATGATTTTGCATGTACTTCAAGTAAAAACACAAAGCAGCGAGGCTTTGGGAGAATCAATAGTGTGGGCTACCATTATAATACAACCTTGTGATTTAGGAACAGGAGTGTCGGTCCTTTGGATCCTTGACTCTGCTTCGCCATTCAATAAGATCATAGCTGATCTGATTATTCAGCATTCCTGCCTATCCTGATAACCCTTCATCTCTCCCCCTTGTTTATCCAACATCTACCTACTTCTGCCTTACAAATATTGAAAGACTATCCTTTCTCTGGGGCTATGGATGAAATCATGGGCCCTGGTGCTATTCAGCTCCCAATGCAACCACTAACTCCAGTATGGTAGATTGGCCCCAGTCTGAACACAGTGATTCCCGGGCCCTGGTTATTGGATCCTGATTTACACCCATGTCCTGGTTAGCACTACTTTTCCAGAAAGAATGTTCTAAGGTCTCCATCTGTGAGAAAAAGTCTATCCTTGCTTCTGTCTTAAACTGGTGACCTCTTATTTTGAAACAATGACCCCTAGTTCTAGGTTTTCCCACAAGCAGAAACATCCTTTCCACATATACTGTGTCATATACTCTTTTAAACACCTACAGATACAATCCTGGCCTGTCTAACCGATCCTGCTAGTGCTGCCATGATGGGCTGAAAGGCATGTTTCTTCATAATAATCCTGGGATTCTGAGATTACCATGCACATGCAGTGACTTGCCTTCGAGCAGAACAATCACTGACATCATTCCTTTAAATAACTGCACAGAGGCCGGTATCCCATACACCAAGTCACCCTTTATTTACTAGTGCACAGTACCAGCCAGCTCAGAGTCAGTCACCTGAACTGAGGAGATTCTAAATCTCCTGGTTATACTTTTTCTTTTTTTTTCTTTTTTTTTAAATAACTGCACAGAGGCCGGTATCCTGTCACCAAGTTACCCTTTATTTACTTGTGCACAGAACACTGGCTGTGGCCAGCCAGCTTGGAGTCAGTCCTCAACTGAGGAGATTCTAATCTGCTGGTTATATTTTTTTGTTGTGCGTGTGCAGGCATGAGACACACAATCTCCTGGTTATATTGGTCAGCTGGGGCTTCCTGCTTGGCCCAGGTTAACGATGCCAGACCAGAACCTTGTAGTCAACAAGGTCCACCTGATTCCAATCACTACATTTTTAAATTTCAGACTCGGGGAAGCTGACCCATTTTCACTTGTATATGTTCATTCTCATTGAAACTTGCATCAACATTTATGTCAAAGATGGGAATGCTTGCTACAAGTTGACTTAGAGGCAAGGGTTTAAAGAGTTTGGAGGTGGACTGATCAAAGTGCTGGTATCCCTGAACATGTTAGTTTCCTATCATAGCTTCGCTATGATGGAAATGTGTGATTTTAAACAAGTATTCCAAACCCGGGAACATCTAAAATCCGACTTCGGTTGTGGAGCTAGCAGGTTTGAAGTATTGAACCTGCATCTGAATTTGAAACAAAAGATGATAATGTGTTCGGTATTGTTTGCACTTTTGCTGCCATTTGCTATTACTTTAGCTGGCTAGGTTTTTATGAGACATAAACATTTTAAGTATTGACTACCACTGCAAACCATGTTAATTTCCTTGCTCGCCAAGCCGGTGTGTTTGATTGCAGATCCTGCTAGATAACGTGGTCAGTGCGCCTCCGGTGAAGCGTTGGTGTTCTGTTCCCCCTTGTTATTTATATGCCTCGGTTTGCTGGGGTGGTTGGTATTACTTCTGGTTCTATTTTTCAGTGGTTTGTATATCAGGTCCACTTCAGTGTGTTTGTTGACAGAGTTCTGGTTGAAATGCCAGACCTCCAGGAATTCCCTGGCATATCTCTGTTTGGCTTGTGCTATTATGGATCTGTTGTCCCAGTCGAGTTTGTGTCCTCCTTTGTCAGTGTATTGAGACCAGTGAGAATTGGTTGTGTCTCTCAGTGGCTAGCTGGTGTTTGTGTATCCTTATTGTTAGTTTTCTTCCAGTTTGGCCTATGTAATGTGTTTCACAGTCCTTGCATGTTATTTTGTATATTACGTTAGTTTTATTGGTTGAGGGTATGGGGCCCTTTACGTTCGACAGTAACTGTCGCAGGGTGGTTGTTGGTTTGTGGTCTACGTGATACCTAGGGATCTGAGTAGTCTTGTGATCATCTCTGATATGTCCCTGATGTACAGTAGGGTGACTGGTGTGTCTGGCCATGTTGTGTCTTCTACTTGTGGTCTGTCGCAGAGGTAACAGCAGATTGTGTGCTTTTTGGGTATCCATTCCTTTTAAAAACTCCATATAAGTGCTCCTGTTCTGCTTTGCGCAATTCGGTGTTGCTGCAGTATGTTGTGGCTCTTTTGAATAATGTCCTGACACAGCTCGGTTTATGGGTGTTGGGGTGATTCCTGGTGTAATTAAGTATCTGGTCTGTATGTGTGGTCTTTCTGTA